TTGTAGATTGATTAGAAAATCTAATTTATGTGAGATAATTAGTGACTTCAAAAGTACTATTAGCTTAATGAAGGTTAATAGAGGAGAAGCAACAAGTCTTGTGAGAAACAGGATTAATTACTGTCACCCAAATCTTATCAAGGAAAAAAAAAAACAAACACGTGCAAATGTCGTATTTGAGTTCAGGATCAGCGGGACAGTTCACATTTCAACACAGCTTTATATCTGAAGAGTCCAAGAAAACAGTCTGTGGCATTTATCAAGCAGCTGGCATGATTAAACCGAGTTAGTACTTTCTAGGGGTTTATCTTTGACGTAAAGAGTTGACATTTAGCACACAGGCGCATGAACTTGCCACCGACAAATCTGCACGACAGAAACTGGGATAAGACAACAACAGAGGTCTGGGAAATAACGTTATCGAGGTAAAAACAGAAACACGTTGGGCTGTCAAACTGTCGTCGGGTCAAACTACTTGTAACCGCATTTGACCCAAGATATTTGAGGTTTCAGATTTGTTTCTGTCCTCGTGGTTCTTGGGAATGTCTCATAATCACATTGACGTACTGGATTATGATCTCAGGAAGTAATATCGATGTAAACTCGATGCTATGGGTTTGGGTTAAAAGAGGATCCCACCAACTGGCCACCTGAATATGTAGGTAGGTTAAATGAAGTTGCATCTAAGATTTATTCAAGGATGGAAAAAACCTCACAATAGCTATCAAAAAATGTTTTACACATGCAACTAGGTGTCCAGCTGGACTCCAGTGGCTGCCATCCTTGTTCAGAACTCAGTCAGAGTTGTGGAACTCTTTCTCATGATGTAAAATGAAATCTTGTCCTCCTGCATATTTCGTGACACGCAGTGGACCACTTCACAACTTTAAGTTAACCTAATTATAGCCAGATTACGAGTACAAAACATTACATTTCCCAGATATTTGGTCAGCACCAACGCTGAAGGGCTGAGTCCCCTGGATGTGCAGAAATATACATTACCCCCCCAAAACCAAAACCACCATTAGTCTGCAAGGTTCAGCAAGGAATAGGGTATGTACTGTATGCAGCAGAGAACTTAATTTCTAACCCACATAATAAAACAACAGCTTTGACATTTTAAAGGTGATGATGAGCACACAAGCATACAGTGCAGCAGAAAGACTGAAGGTCTCAAGGTTTCCATTCAGTTTACAGCAGTGAACAGTAATCAGCAGCTTGGCAGAAGGAAATGTGACATAAAGAACAACAAATCAAGCTGTACATTAACCATGATGACACCAACAGAAACACACTGGCAAGTATGTGATGCTTGATGCATGGCAAAAGCCATGTTCAGCTTGGCAAGAGGACACAGCTATAGGGTATAATTATGTCAGAGAGCTGCGTTCAAGACAACAGCACTGGAAAGAAACCTTAGTTTGCAGGGAGCCAAACAGCAACAATCAAGCTGGACAGTAAAGATGGCTCACAACCAACTCACATTTATGCAGCAGCACATATCAAATCATGAGCACTGAATGTGTCGTATCACCAATCAGCAAGTCCAGGAAGTGAACGTCCAGGTTAAACCAACACTGCATGTGGGTGAATCCAGCTGTAAAATAACACCACAGAGCAACACAACAGCCAACATGAAGAGCCAAAACATGAGCTTAGAAACACCAGAAACTCACCTTGATGAAGAGAAGCTGTGATATTGGACCCATGGGAACCAGGAAACTCCAGGTGAAGGTTGTGTTTGAGGCCACAGCTGCTCTGATTAAAATCTAATCAACAGAAGAGCAGCGCAAATATCCTCATTTCTCCCACAAAGTCTCCTGGAGCTGGGTGTTGGCAGGCGAGCTCCAGTAAACCCGTGCATGTGGATATTAGCAACAAGTGTCTGCAGCAGCTACCAAACAAAACAGAGCAGAGGAGCAAGAGGAGAACTCACGGCTTCCAAAACAGTGCACTGGATTTGCCTTCAAGCTGCCTGACTGAATCATGTTCCCACCCTGAGCTGGTTAACTAACTTTGCTGCTCTCAGGTCACCAGATCTTTCCTCATGTGTTTGACTTGTCACAGGTGGAATTAATAACTTTAATGGCGTCTCATTGGTACAACAGAAGCTGTCCTCAGACACCATTAACACACCTGTAGGGTTTCCTGGTGGTCCTGGTTCAAATGTGTGCCGCGAAAACAAGCAGATGTTGTTGAAAAACCTAACAAAGGAATGACAATTATGATAACTATGTCATGTTTAAAATCTAAAATATTTTTAGGTGGACGTTTGAGGATTATAAAAGAAGAAGAACCATATAAACAATCCAATTACACAATAAAGGACATGTAAAATGCTGTAGTCTCTACTGTAAATACCTGCTTTTCTTCATAGTCTTTGCTTTAATATTGTATACTTTATATTTATCTTTCCCTTCACTTCATTCTTTTACTTGTGTATTGCTGCCACAGAGGATGCTACAACAATATGTCACTGCTGTAACACTTCTCTGTTTAATATTGCTTTCACAGTGAAATAAAGAACTGTTCTACGATTCTATTTATACGTTTACATGCTTTGAAAATATTGACAGGGACAATTTATTTTTATTTCATTTTATTCTATTTTATTTTGGTTTGTAAAAATCCACATCCATTGGGGGAAAATAAAGAAAAAAGGACTGATTTTGGAAATTTTTGTCAGGACCTGCATCAGCGTAGCATCACCATAAAAAGTCTGACAAATTATCTATGGACCAACGGTATTTTATTCTCAATTACGTATCACTTTACTTTGTTGGTTGGTTGGTAGGTTTACTTGCTTGTTTTGGTGTATAATCTCCCGACATGGACACCTTTGTTCGTGCAGACCTCTGTGCAGGCTGAGAGACTAATACATGTTCTCCAGGAGATTTTCAGTCATTTAACTGTCTTGCTTAGACAATAATATCAAGAATTAACCTCACATAAGCGTCTGTTTACAGGTTATGTGGAGTAATATTGCTTATTTCTGGTTGAAAAATGAGACTGGCCCATCATAAGTGCTGTTCAATACTATGTTGACAACTGTATGCCGTCAGATAATTGGTGTATAGATGACGAAAACTCTTAGGGGTTGAAAAGTTCTTAGTTTGGTTGATTATCTGAACCAATATTCAGCATTTTTCTGATTGTTGCTCTTTTTTTCTCAGTCACTTCCTGATAAATCAAATTCTACACTTCTACAGTTTCATTTAGCAGACGCTTTAATCCAAAGAAACGTACATCTGAGAGCAGATGCACAAGCAAGGATCTAGTCAGGAGAAAACAATCTGGATAAGTGCCACAGAACAAATTCAAGTGTGATAGGGCATTGATGCCAATAGCAGGCTGTGTGGGAGGTAAAAGGATTTTATTATTTTTTTGTTTATTATTTTTTTGTTTTATGTTTGTTTTCGGGCAGTCAATTTAAAAATCAAAAAGTCAAATTAACTTACACGACTTTCTCTTTGTGGTCTCGAGCAACGTCCCACCTGCAGCACATCTGGTTACACATCATAGGTAACAGACGATCAACACTGAAGTATAAATGCTAAAAAGTTCTCCTTCAGTTAAACATAAAGAACATGAAGTTTTTTGTTGGAAGTTGTGTTTTTCTAACTTTTGACACCAGTATTTTCATTTTTGCTGCAAACGTACATCAGTTCCAAATATCAGTCTCTCTCGATTCATAATAATCAACATCAGTATCAACCCTGAAATAAACCTATCAGTTGACTACAAGTTTGAAAATCAAAAATCATGCTAAAATCCCCGTATCACATGACAGCAGTTCATTGTGCATTGTGGGTAATGTAGGCACCAGGTTTAGATAGATAGATAGATAGATAGATAGATAGATAGATAGATAGATAGATAGATAGATAGATAGATAGATAGATAGATAGATAGATAGATAGA